TCAACAGCAACAGTGTAGGGATGAGCACGAAATACTGTAAATTAAATACTGAATGGCGGTTCATGCAGAGAAAGAACATATCAATATTCGTATATTCATTCAAAAACATGAAAATTCTTAATGGAGTACCCTCATTTTTTATTGAATTCCTAAAAACCAATATTTATAATGAATTTTAATAATTTTTTCGAATTTTTTTTAAGCTTTATTCTGACCGATTCACCCGATTCCCGATCCGGATCGCCGATTCGCCGATCCGGATCGATTTTTTGGAAGCTCAATTCTGATCACCGATCCGTTTTTTAAACCATTGGACAAAACTATTGTGACCCGTTCTAATAAAAATAAATAGTCTCTTGTGTATACTTTTTCATTAAAAAAAGAATTTTTGCACCATGCACCCCACCCATTCCACCGTTGATATCTCTCCAACCTTCTCTCACCATTGTTCTCTCTCTCTTAAACCACAATGAAGACGCTCATTTGTTCATCTTGGGAGACTTTATACTAGCTGGGGACTTTTAGTACATTCTAACACACTAATCAGACTTTAAGTTAGTATTAGCCTCTCTTATTTGATCATCTTTCAAAACGTTATGGTGTAGCCGGGCACTTGAACACATCAAAATACATTAATCATCTAATCAATTGTCTCTCCATTAGTCTCTCTCTCTTCACACACATCTTAACACATTGATCATTTAATCAACTTTCTCTCACCATTAGTCCCTCTCTCTCACTCTGAACTTCACTCTTTTTTTTTCTTCTTAGAAATTTATCAAAATATATATAAATGATTAAAATTTAACATTTTACCGCTATACTTTTATCTAATTTTAAAAAACATCATACACGTGACTATGAGTTGGAATAATTGAGAAAGGGTAAATTGTTGAATCGTAGAAAAGTTAAAAATATTCCAATAAATTTCGATTTTCATTTTGACGAGCGAAGGTCATGTCATCATTTTCCAAACCTTATTACATTTTGGTACAAAAATACATGACATGCACGTGATATAGACACTTGAATGATGCACAAATACCCTTACTACAATGTGTGAAATAACGAATGGTAAAACATAATAACAACTTACAAAAAGGGTCATAAATGAAACATGCCTTAAATGAATAGCAGATGCAAATCACAAAAAGGCACATACCGTGCAACAAGCACAAGTCCTCTATGAAGAACTTTGAATCATTTTACAACATTATAACCAAAAGCCACAAAGATCATACAGCCTCATGCAACAAGCACAAAAATTCAAGAGCAGAGAATATTGAAACACAAAATCTCAAGCAACAAAAAATTGTGTAAAAAAGGAAGAAGAAGAAGAACAAAGTCCAAACCAAAACTCAAAGAATAAGCACATTTATCCTTCCAAATGTTATTGTTTAACATGCTTCATATGAATACATATAGTTAGCTAGAATGTATAATAGTATATTTAAAAACCCCCCTATAGAGGTCAGCATTCTATGTCATTGAAAACCCGAATTCAACAGTTTGTAATATCCAAAAGCCGGACTCAAAATTTAACAAACCAAATAATATATACAATAACATAAGCCAATATGTATATACCCCTACTGCATAGAAGATATATACTTCCTCCTATCCAGACATCCAATTTAGATCAAGTGAGCTAATGACTATTTGATCTAAATCCGATGCTTCAGAGTATTTTATTTTTAATTTTTTCTACAGATTATATAAATATGAAATTTAGTATGTGTTATCATCTCAATGGGACGCACCTAAACAAAATATTAAAAATGATTTTTAATAAAATATAATAACCAAAATACCCCTTGAATTTTTTAAGGAATTTTCGTCATTTTATTTTATTAGGTATATTTTTTACAAGTGCGAGTTTAAGAGATGAATCTACACCCAAATTTTTGTGTCAAAATATTTTATAAAAGCATATTAAAAATAAAATAATGTAGAAACGTGACATTGTATTTGCGGCTATCTCAGCCGTCCATTTAGAATGGACTGTTGGATAGGAGAAAGGATATAAGTTTTAGGCAGTAGGAGAAGTATAGATAGCCCATAACATAAGCCAAAATATATATACCCCTACAAGACTATGATGTATAGTAACCCCTAGCTAGGAGTATTATTAAGATCTTAAATTTTGGGGATCTGGCCTCCTCAACGAAACAATTTACCTAACAGAAAATTGATATCCACATGCATGAAAAGCATGACGTAGTAGGATTGAAGAAAGGCCATCCAGTTTATCAATGGTCATATCTAATAGTTTAGAAACTCAAAATTCCTTCTTTTTCTTTTTTTTTGTTGTTTTTACAATTCTCATTTGGTGATTCTAAACTGGTTCTCAAAATTTCAGAAAAATAAAATCTTCCTGTTTAGGTCTTTTGACTGAGGGGGCAAATATACAATGCGCTCCGACAATAGTACTCATGCTCATACTAACACGCCATGAGCTCAATTAAAAAAAGAGTGAGAGAAACATACAAACCCAAAATAAGTTCTAGTATCAAAGAACAACAATTTATATTATTAGACATTTTAAGGTGATGCCTAAAATTCTTGAGTTTTTAAATTAATTTCCCCCTGTCCGAAAGTCTTACTTTTGAATTACCTAGAATACAACATAACATAGTGTTTAGGTGGTTCAAAAGCAACTAGTCAGCCAGCCAGACACATAAACATAAATGTTTGGGCATTTTAGCATGCCGAAAATCCAACTTTTGTAACCCTTTAAAAGTAAAAACAAAGACCTGAAGAGTTTGAGTTTTCAAACTACCCAAATGCTTAGTTTGTATTTTGAATAGTTCAAAAATGAATTTTGGAACCACCCAAAAACCTGAAACATTTTTTTGTTTGGGTTTCAAACTACACAAACACCTAGTTGTTTTTTTTTTTGGTAGTTCGAAAGTAGAACTTTAATATAATGAAAATATGAGCGATTCTTTAGTACTTAAACTTAGTTTGCCTTATATGTAAATTTATCAAAAAAGAAAAAAAAATTCCTTTTGACAAGCTTCATGTCGCATTGGGAGCATAAAAATATAGGCCAATAAATGCTTAAGATGACATAAATCATGGGGGGATTGAGCCATGATTCACCTCCACTGTCCCATGGCTATGCTTGAAAGGCAACAAGCTTGTCATGCTTCTTAACTGTTTGGATAAAAGATGGTCAAGGCAAACATGAGCAAGAAACTAATGTTAACTAGAAACCATTTTTCAGTGGGAGATGGACTTTACACATTTGCCCCTCCATCAAAATTAAAATAGTTTTTTTGTAGAACCAATTATTTGCATAATTATCTTGGAAACATAAAGTAGATGAAAATTCCAGGATTGTCTTGGAAACATAAAGATGAAAACATAAAGGAAAAGGTCTATATAATGTTGACACCTTAAAATATAGGATTAACGTGCACTTCAAAAATACTTCCAAAAAGGTTGTTTTAATGTTGGAAAAATATCTAATTGATCAGCTCCACATTGAGATGCATGGATATGGAAAAACAAGATTGTAAGTCCCAAAAATAGTACATCTTGCAACACATTATTTGGACCATCTATTTTCAAGATTTTTATATGTTTATAAATCTGCTTGACTTGAATCATATGGACTTTAAAATTTTATAATTAGAGATGAAAATAAATTCCCACATCATTTTAAAAAATTTCGACACAAAAATTACATCTTATGACAAAATTTGGATATGCGCATTACTTTAATCGTTTAAGATTGAAACCTTATGCAAACCACACCCTCCATGTATTCAAACATCTTGCAAAGGAAAGCCCTAGATCTTTCCCTTCCTTTTGCCCTCAAGCTCCATTCCTTTAGCCAGTGGCCACTCTAAAAAATCTTCGATGAACCATGAAGAACTACTTCCAATGAACTCTATGGGCCCTCCTTCCCTTTATGTGCACCATACATGCACATATCTTGCTTATCGGCTAATTGAAATTTGGTCCAAATTATAAACTTGGTACAAGACCCTAGGAATAAGGTTTAGTATCACACCCCAAGTTTTGCTGACGGACTAAAGAACAAGTGCCGCATGATCGAGGTGAGGGGCTTCAAGCTAGGACCATGACATTAGGTTTTTGGGTAGCAATTGACATTAGCAATGTTATATCATTTGATTCCTCTTGGTGAACTGCTAAAAAAAAGAAAAAAAAGAAGAAAGTAAAAACTCGAAAGCGCTTATGGAAGATCTTTTCAAAGTGGTCTAATGATCTAGATTCCAAATCATAGTTACCAAAAGCGCTTATGGAAGATGAATATAAATCGTCTGAGAGCCGATCATAAAACTTGATGAAGATCTCAGGTATTTTACACACATCTAGTATTTTGGTCATAACTTTCTCACTAGATCATCGATTGAGATGCCCTCAAAATGTATGTTCATGTGAGAAGGACAGGAAGAAAAATCAAGCACCAGAGAGAAAAAGAGATAAGTGATATGCTAGAATGCCTTACTACATTCAATACATGTATGTGGATAGAGAGAGAGAGATGGATGATTATATTCAAAATTGGACCCCAACAAAGGACTGTCCAAAATGCCAATTAGAAGGGGCAACATTGTAGCTAATAACTGTCTTTCCATCACTTGTGGTGACTTGGAATGATAAGCTTTGGCCATTTAGGAAGGAGTTGCTCTGCCAATTTTGGCCCCAATTCCTAGACATTGTTTGCCACCCTCCTCTTGAGCCCTTGATTGAGACTGCATGCACATCACCAGCACCACCCACATTTGTGATCAACACCAAGTTAAAGTAGGAGAAACCATTGATGGTGAACCGAATTCCTCCTTTTCTCAAACATGGCACTCTAGCATATAAACACCAATAGAGAGTTTTTAGTCTGTTATTCAAAAACTTAAGAGCAAAAAGAATTACGATGTAATGACTGATGACCATTACCTTAAGATACTGTTTTGATGACTCTAATAAATTATGGAAAGTATATTGTCCACATTGCAGGGCCAATCAAATAGTGCAGAATCACCCCTCTTACGGTTCAGATTAGAAGGGAAGAAAATTGACGACTATAGTGTATGTAGTATTTCTAATTATTTTCGTATAGATTTGATTGACATGAAATTTTGAACGTGTGGGCGCCAGTGCATCCTAAAAATAAACCACCTAAGTAGCTCTTAATGTTTTAGGGGTATTTTAGTCAATTTACTTTTTCAAAATACTTTTTATTTTTTTCTAGGTGGACTTGATAGACAAGTGTGGATGCTCAAAATTTTAAGGTGATCAAATGTGTGAAAAATATTAAAGTACTACATTCAATAGTAGTATGGTTTCTTCTCTTTGAATCTGAACCATTAAAATGTGCTTATGCACTATTTGATTGTACATGTGATGAAAATGCTGTACAAACCCATATGTTATAATACCACAATAAAACTAACTTGCAATGTTAAAGAGGAAGAAAACCTTTGAAAGTTTAGGATAGTACTCCCTCATACATGTTTTTAACGAGGGAAAGTCTAATATGATCCTCCTGAACATATGAAATCTACGATCATGAGGGTCATCACCATCCAATCCATGGTTGGATGGTGAGAGAGAGAGGTTGGTCCACCAGAAAATGACATGACTTCAATACTTGGTCCCAGTCTCCCTCCATTATGGCCTAGCAATACAGTGATGACCCACATGACCATAGATTTGATGTAGTCATGAGAATAAACCATAGATTTGATGTAGTCATGAGTATAAATTATAGTATTTTAAATTTTCAGGCACAAGTCACAAGCAAGGGAGGATTTTCTTTTTTAATGTTAGGGAACATTTACCAATGTGCCACATATCCACACTCCATTCTTGGACAAGCCATCTTCCTCCACAATTTATACTATAAATACTCTTTTTTTTGGGATGGGTATTTGATGATGTCGTTTATATTTTTTATTTTAATTATATCTTTTATATTTAAGTGATACGATTTGATTCAAGTGAAATGCTTTAAAAGGATAAAAAAAACCCAACATAACGAAAAGAGATATGATGACTTAAATTTTTATTAAGGGTATGGTTTTTATTGATCAGAATAGCATAACAAGATTCATGCTCTAGATAGTTGGGATAAAATTCAGACGATGACGATGATAACGACAATGCTAGCTTTTAGATCTTTCCTCTTTCTTTACGAAGTAGTAGACTCTCCTCGAGCACAAGTTTTCTGATAAATAAGGAAAACTAGGAGACTCTTATCAAAATAAGTTCTCTTTGAGTGAAATGTATTTTTTTTTTTTTCTCTAGATACAAATTGTTTTTCTTTGGCAAGTTTTTTTGCCGTATAGCCATTATAAAAATTATATATTTTGGTATGGAAAAAGTTTATAATGTAAAGTTGCAACATTAAAATGTAGAGTTAAAGATGCACCTCAAAAATCCATCAAAAATGGTTGTTTTATTATTAAGAAACTCTCTAATTGATCATCTCGATATTGAGATGTATGAATACAAAAAAAAAAAAAAAGATTTTGAGTCCCATAAATAGTGCATCTTGCAACACATTATCTAGACTGTCCATTTTCAAGATTTTTATATGTTTATATATCTACTTGATTTTAGCTATTTTTGAAGTTTAAAATTTTATAATTAAAAATAAAAATAGATTTTAAGATAATCCTAAGAATATTTTACACTGAAATTACATACTATAATAAAATTTGGATGTGTTTTAATTGGATTGTTTAAGGTTGCAACCTTATAGAAACCACACCTTTTAGTATACAATGATTTAAATTCTTAATTTATAAATATTTTTTAAAAATTTTATTTTCATAAAACTAATGAATATGACTCTAAAATAAGGAAAAAAAATTATATAAGGTTGAGGCCCTAAGCAATCAAATTAAGGTGCACCTAAAAAATTTGCTTGAAGAAGTTGCTCCGATGCTGAAAAACCCTCAAATCCAATCATCTTGTCCTTGAGATACATGGATATATATATATAAAAATAAGATTTTTAAGTCTTGAAAATACTGTATCTTGTAATATATTATCTAGATCGTCAATTTTCATGTGTTCATAAATCCGTTTGATTTACATTATTTTTAAGTTTGAAATTTCATAATTCGTGAAGAAAATAAATTTTAAAGCCATCATAAAGATTTTCAATGCTGATATGACGCTTTTTGATATTATTTGAAGGTATGCAATACTTCGTTTAGGGCGTCAGCTTTATACAAACTACACCCTTAAAATAATTTTGTATTTATAATTTGATTAGTTATGCTTGTGAATGATACAAGCTGCGGTTGTGGACTAGCGTCCTAACCTTCTTATTTTGTGTGCGCATGGGTACGTGAGAGAGAGAGAGAGAGAGGAATAGTGGTATCTTGCCACTTCGTGGCCATAAATATGGTCGGCAATGGGCCAGGGCCGGGCTGCAAGCCTGTTTGGTCTGGCCCTAAAAAGTTGGGCATGGGCCAAGCTAGGGCCAATTCCAGCCCAGCACAACCCGGCTCTTCTTTCTCTTTTCCTTTTATTTTTTTCTTCATTTGATTTTTAAACTGCTTGCCCGACCCTGCCCTAACAGGGCCTAGGCCTTATGTGGAAAAGGGCCGGGCCAAGGCCAAAGCTGGCCTGGCCTGTTGTCACCCTCACTCCTAAAATGTGCTCCGTAGGTTATTGTTTCAACTCTCTCTCATGTTTACCTTCGAAAAGCCACGGGCACAATCCCGGCTCGGTACTTAGCCATTTGCAGGAAGGCGGGCTCGGCGAGGTCAAAGTGCTGCAAGGGTGGGTTACACCACCCACCATTGTCATTTGGTAGGGCATAGTTTGGGGGGCAAAAATTGCTGGCCGTGACCACAATTGTGGCTGTGAGACACCACTTTGGATCATTTACACACTTCAGCTCATAACATGCTCCGCAGCTCAAGCCATCGTTGAACAAAGCTGTGCTCAATGCTGCAGTGTTGGTGCCATAGCCTTGGCTATAAAGGTTTCCATAGCCACATGCTCCACCTATGTGCCAAAAAGTCGAACCCCAAATCGCATAAGTAAATACTTCTTATCCTGTTAATTATTTTGCAGGTAAGTTTGGTTTGCAGAAATTATGTGGGCAGGGTGGGCCGTCGCAGCCCGGTTGACTAGTTTCGAAAAACTTAGGGCATGGGCCACAAAGTATGGGCCAAGGGCCATGCCTGGGCCTCGGACAAGATAGGTACATCCTGGTTCCACTGGCCAGTCCTTTTGGCATTTATATTTGTTTTTTTTTTTTCATTTGGTTCGGTCTGGCCCTGATAGGGCCAAGGCTGGGCTTGAGCCTAGGCCTCTATGGGCCAGGCTTGGCCAGCCCTATGGGGATCAGGGTTGGGCTAGGGTCGGGGCTGGCCCAGCCCAGGCACGGCTCAGTGCCAGCCTTAAATGGTTTAAAGCAAAGACTAGGATCGAGACTCGCTATTGTCAAGTATGTCAGGGTTAAAAATATTAATTTCAATATTTTTTCCAAAGAGGTGGGATTTTTCATTATATTAATTGCCTAAATTAGGGGTGGCAATGGACCCAACGGCTTAGTAGGCCTAGCTCAGAGCAATTAGAGCTGAGACCACTGAATTTTGATTGGAGGGCTAGGCTCGATGTCTACATTTGGGCTGAGACCAAGGATCATGGCCCTGGCCGGCCCAACCTTGCTATTTTTTGTTTTTCTCTTTTATGAAATTATAAAACAAAAAATTAATATCTACTAACCTGGCCTAAGTAGAGCGCATATTAAGGCTAGACCAAGCCACCTAGCCCAAGCATAAGGTCAGGTCGTGTCAAAGCTCCTTCAGCCCCATCTCGACAGGGCTTGGGCCTTTCCCTGGCTTGGGCAATTACCCTAATATAACTAGATTTCAAAAAAAAAATGTTATAAAAAAAGCACATGGATTTCTCAGTGTCAAGATTCGCGTCCTTAGTATATCGATGCACAAATAGAGATCCAAAACTCACCCATTGTGCCTGAGGCATCGCTTCCACCATAAAACGTAGCATGGCCACTCAGCCAATCCCCAAAATCGCTAAACCCATCACCAATCATCCAAGTCATGGTCACCATGAAAACAAAGAACCCCCTTCTCTGCGCCATTATAAACTTTGTTGAGCTCAAATTTTGCACCTTACTTCACACCCCAAAGCTCCTTAGCCTCATTACTCAGCGGTCCTCTTATTTATAGTCTTCTTCTTATTAATGGACCAAAGTCTCATGTGACTCGCCCTTTATGACTTGGACCTAGGTGTGGCATACACGTGGGATGTTGGGCCCACATTACATTGATGATGTGGCATGGATAACACCAAAATGACATGGAAAAAGGGCTTTGAAGTGTTGATATGGAAGTTAACCTTTCAAACCTCATATGAATGTGAGATCGAAAAGGAAGATGGGTATCACCTTTGATGGGTTGCTTAAAACTTAATTTTGACAGGAGTTGGTTGGGTAGCCCAAGGCTTTTGGGTTTTGAAAGTACTTTCAGGGATTTATTGGAGGTGTCATATTTTGTTATACAGGGTCTTATGGAATCGCTTATCCAAAAAAAAGGTCTTATGTAATCATAATTGCGAATGAAGCGAAATTGGAGGCTTTAGAGCAACGATTAAGTTGATGGTACATAGGGGTGTGCAACTACCTTGCATCATTGAAGGTAGCTCTCTAAAAATTATAAATTGGAGCAATTATGTAATTAGGCCGACATGGAATATGAGAAGGAAGTGGATGAGAGTTTTGAAATTATGAACATGTTTATAGGGAGGCTAACGGTATTGTTGATGGTCTTGTAAAAGGCGGAATTGAATTACATTTTGTTTTGTATTTTTGTTTTTTCCCTCAGCCTACGGCCTCGGGCGCTACATGCGTTCAAAGACTCGATGATCCATGGGATCCTGCAATTCGCGCCAAATATCGAATTTCGGTACTTTACGGGAATTGAATTACGTTCCACTATAGTACCTGATGTATTGTTTTCTTGAAATTATTCTACTTAAATATTGATTAATAAGTCAATAATATTGTCCCCAAAAAAAAGAGGCTGAGGTGGCAATAGTATTGCTTTTTTTAAATTATTCTACTTAAATATTGATTAAAAGTCAATAATACTTTTACAATGCTGACATGGCAGTATCGTGTGGCAATGATGTGTGAGGAGACGTGAGCCAATGGAGTTAGTGCATGTGAGGGGGTTCAGGGCTTTATGAGACATGGCACGTGGGGTACGGGTTGAGTTGCCTGGCTGGTGAGAAGAACGTGCGAGGGAAACGACACGTGCAGAGAGAGATAAGAGAGGGGAGAGAGGATGGTTAAGAGTTTAGAGAGAGAGAGAGAGTTCAATGAGTGAGAGAGAGAATTCAATGAGTGAGAGAGAGAGACAGAGAGGATTGTCTAAACGGATGAGGGTACAAATGATCATTGAGCCTTGTGGATGAGGCTTTAAATGGTTCTCTCTCTCTATCAAAATGTCTTTTATGTGATTTGTCATTGTGAATTCCCATGTCAAAATTTCTCAAACAAAAGCACTCTCTCTCTCTCTCTCTCTAAATATGCATGTTCTGTAGCTTGCCTTGGTCCATTCCTATAGCACTAGTGTTCTGAACCTCAGAATCAGGAACGGGGTCACCTACCACTGTATTGATGTAGATCAGCCAAATTAGTAAAAATTCAGCAAAAAATATAATAAAAAATAGGGTGTAGTTTGCATAAGGCTGCAACCCCAAATAATCACATTAAGGCACACATTCAAATTTTATCATGATATACGACTTTGGTGTCAAAAATTATTTAGATGGCCTGAAAATCTGTTTTTATCTCTAATTATAGAATTTTCAACTCAAAAAATGGTTCAAAGCAAGTAGATCTATAAACATGTGAAAATCTTGATTTCATGTTCATACATCTAATGTCAAGATGATCAATTAGAGGGTTTTTCAACATTAAAATAATATTCTACGATGTATTTTTGAGATGCACCATAATTCTACATTTTCAGTTGGAGTGTGGTTTTGCACAATGCCGGAACTTAAACAATTCAATTAGGGTGCACCTCTAAATTTTGTCATTAATGTAATTATTATACCAAAAATTTTTAAAATGGCTTGAGAATCTATTTTCATATCTAATTATAAAATTTTAAACTTTAAAAATGATTCAAATCAAGTAGATCTATAAATACATGAAAATCTTGAAACTAGACAGTCTAGATGATGCGTTGGTGTTGCAAGATATGCTATTTTGCAAACTTAAAATCTTTTTTTCTTTTCATATTTTATATATCTCGATGTTGAGATGATCAATTAGAGCAACATCTAAACAACCTCTTATGATGCACCTTTAATTCTACATTTTAAGGTTGCAATCCTATATAAATTTTTCTCCTGAAGTTGTAACCTTATTTAAACCTTTTCCAAAAATAAAAGCAAAAAGGATGGACCAGGTCCTCCTACCCACCATGTGATTCAAATTTGAGATTCTCAATCCGGATCACTAAATTTTAAAAGCCAACACAAAACTTCTCTCCTAAATCAATCACTCTCATCATTTTTTCTTTTGACAATATAAAGTTTGAATCCTTACAGGATTTCACGTGTAACAGTCACATGATTGATGAATCCATAGCCCCACCCACCGATTCCTCACACATGCATGTATTAATGATGCACATTCTACCACCCACCATCGTTTAAACTGCATGCACACAAAGTGTTCACCTCTTTGTCTCTCTTATGCGCATTTGTGTTTTTTTGTCCACAAAGGTAACATGACTGAATACTGTAGCACTTCTATGTTTGAGTGCATATGAATTGCTACGGTACCGAAAACTTAAACTTTATCACAAAGTTTTTATCTCTCTCTAAACGAGTACTAGACTGATTTGAAACTGATTGGACCTCATATAGGCATAGGCATATGCATCATATGCCACACATATCGAAGCATGGAACGGATGTGACACAATATTCTTATAAACTTTCCTGACTTGTACCAAGCTGAGTCATCGATTCGGATGGGACGCAATTGGTTCGACGATGTTATGGGTTCCCGCTCGATACTCCAAATTTTTTTTTAAATTACTTAATATTTTTAAAACATAATAAGACCCTCCTAAATTTATATGCGTAGAAATTTAAATGATCAACATGTGTATAGGATTTCAAATGATTACCATTAAATTTGACATAGATCTTTAAAAAAGTTATTTCATAAATGTGAGATTTGACTTTTCTAAAAATTCGTACCAAATTTAATGATGATCATTTGAGGTTCTACACACATAAGTATAGAAGGGTCTCATAGGATCATCACTCATAATTTTTTTAGATTCTTTATAAATCCACACACCATAATTTGTATTTTAATTTATTTATTTATTGAATTTTTTAATATTGTTATGGATCACCGATTGGACCAATCTAGGTGACAAATCTAGTGACAAGAATCTATGAGATGAATGATCCACCCTACGCATTTGGATGTTGAAACACTGGTCTAAACATATAAAAAAGGCACAATTTAAAAATAACTAAGCATCCCAAGAGATTATGGTATGAAGGACCCGAAATCTCCTTAGTCCCCCAGTTTTAGTTTTCTTTATTTTTCGATTTCTTTCTTAAATATTACTCTAATCCAACTTTGGAATCACCCAAGGCTGACCGAGAGAAATGCAATTAGAGCCCTATTAAATCGGCCCAATTCCATTTTTTGAAGCATGAAATGCATGCATGAACATTAGCACTTGGACTAACTTGAAACAATTTTTTGACAAGTGACCTCAATTTATTAGCAATGGCTAGCATGCAAGTTCCTCATGAAAATCCAGTGAACAACAATGAAAGGCTAGATAATTCTTCATCAAAATCCAGTGAACAACAATGAAATGCAGTAGCAAAACTCTGACATATTCAAGCTCAGTTTGAGTGGGTGGTGAGCTTTACTCAAGCCTGGACCACCTAGCTGGAGCTTGGATCAATAAAGAGGATGTAAGCTTAACTTGGCTTTGCTTGACATACTTAATCAGACAACTACATGAACAAGACAAGCCAAGCCATAAATAAGCCACCACAAGCCCATGAAAAAGTCTTATCAATAGAAAACACAAACAGTCAACCAATCAATTGTAAATACATTAGGAAATTTAAGATGAGGTGAATGTGATATAATATCATATAATCCAGTGATTCAAAAAATGGATCGCTAAATCCGCGGTTTAGGTTGCCATTTTCATGTACAGAAAAATAGTGAATTGGCAAAAAAACACATGAAAAAACAGTGAACCGGCCAAAAACCAGCCCGAATCGGTAAATCGTCTATTTGGATTGCCGCTTTACTGTAGAGAACATCGTTTTACTGTACGGAATCACTGGTTCCCTTCTAGACATTATTATTTTCCTATATATAAAAAGAATAGAAAGGGTGACCGATTCTCAGGTCGGACCAAATGATTTTGTGCATACCCCTAGCGTTTTCTAAATCACTAATATAATCTACTAAACAAGCTCCAACCGTATTTTAGTCGAGCTTGGCTTGATTGACGGACAAAGAGGCATGCATGGCTTGTCGAGTTGAAAAGTATTGCTCAAAGAGCCAAGCTAAGTCGGCTAACGAGTTGGCTTGGTTTGTTTATAGGGTTGTCCCATGAGACCCTGACTATATCTACAAGGTGGTACTTATCAGAAACAAAAGCTGGTTTATCTTTGCTTATAAGGTAGTTCCTACTGGAAACAAAAGCCCGAATTTTCTCCTCCTAAGAGAGGTTGTTGGTTTAAGGGATCCCTAACAAACAAAATGAGAGAGAGATTACCTTATTAGAAACAAAAACCCCAATTTTCTCGTTTTAAGAGACAACAGTGGTACACTGGTCAAGGGCAATTTATAAACAAAATGAGAGGGAGATTATCATCATCAAAGTTTTTTTCCAACTAATTGGAGTGGGCTACATGAATCTTGGTCCACTATTCTACTTTATTAAAAGTCATACCCTCAGTGAGGCTATAAATCCCTATATGTTTCATCATTACTTCGAACCATGTCCTCAAACAAAGAGAGATGTTGAAATTAATTATTGTAGGATGTATGATATACTTTGTGCTTGTTTTTCTTGATTTTCATAAGAAATAAGGTGAGGAGTTCCTAATTCCCTTGTTTGATTTCATGGGAAAGTACATCAGATGGT